CCAAGTGATGTCCTAATTTTAGCATTTAAGCAACCTCACTTCACAGAAGAGAGAACAGAGGGCCAGAGAGGCTGGAGATCCACTCCAAATCCTACAGGAGGTGGCATTCAAGGAAGGTGGAAGGCAGTGGACCTGATGAGGAGGTAGGAGGAGAGTCAAGAAATATTTTGGAGGCAGAATCCACAGGAATTGGAGCCTGTTGAATTAGTTAGGAGAAGGATGTGAGGCTGACACTCAAGGTGCTGGCTTGGATGAAGTGGGGATCCAAGTCCTTCCCTGAGAGAGAAGAAGAGATGGTTAGGTGGGAGTTAATGAGTTCACTCTGGGCTCTGAACAAAGTCAGGTTGAACTCCCATGGGAGATGCACTTGAAGATGCCCAGCTGTTAGCAGGACACATGCTTATGGAGCTCATCAGGAGAAAGTGTGGGCTGGAGATGAGATGGAATTTCCTCCTATCGCCCTCCCTACCCACACCTGCAGGATGATTAAAGCTAAGAACAGAGGAGAGGTCACTCAGGCAGAGCAGGTAAAGTGAGAAGTGGAATCTGGAAAGCAGCACTTTTCGGTGGTTTAGGAAAGCGCAGCCTATAAAAGACACCCTGGGAGAGATGTGATGTCTTGGGGTAGACAAAGAAAAGCAGACTAAAAGGCAACTCAGGTGTCCACACGAAAGAAGCACCATTTTATAGAGAAGCTGGGGTCTCATAGAGATATGTCGTTCCGGTAGCCAAGGGAGAAGGCATAAACCTGAACCTTTAACAAAAGCAAACACACTGGAATGGCGTGTTCAGCCCCCCGCAGGTGGTCTGTGCTGGAGGGTTTGTGGGTAACTGAACAAACGGGAGCAGATGGATGAACCAAAATCTCTCCAGCTGGTTTCAGAAGTTCTCTGTGGGCCCAAGGATGTATAACACAGCTCAGACCCCCCTCCTTTCTTCCTGCCAACTCTAGCCTGCCAAGTCCCTGGGGTTATTGAGCGTTCATTCTGTGAAAGGCAATGGGAGGAAAGAGAGAAGACCAAGATCACAGCATTAAGTAGCGCCACCTCCCCGTTAGACACGCTCCATGGTTAGGTGCCTTACTGTTGCATCTTTATTACAACCAAAAAACTTAGCATAATGCCTTGTCCATAATGGAAGCTTATGAATAATAATTTTGACAGAATAATGAATAATAATTATGAACAATAATAATTATGGAAACAATGAATAGTGTTTGGAAAAATGAGTCACCTCAGAGTTCTAAGGTGGCCCTCCGTACTCTTTGGTCTGTACTCAGCTGGAGGACTTTGTGACACTTCTTAGGGAAGGGATGTGCTAACAGGCGGGCAGGACACACCTTCACAAGAAAGCAAGAGAGCCATGTTCAGCCTCACCCACGGGAAGTTTGACTCGGTTGACTCAGCCAAGCCACAGAGGTCGGCAAAGCCTCTCTGCAGTGGTTCCAGGCTGTCCTGGAAGACAGTGCGGTCCATCCAGACATGCTGTCACTGTTCCCGCTGTTAACTCTGGCGATCCTTGGGGCTTGTAAGTCTTTTTCCTCCCCCAGTCTCCTTGGACAAATCTCTAATTTTTGTCATTTAAAAAAAATTCCAAATTTTTGGTTTATTTACTTTTCTCCTTTTTTTTTTTTTTAGACAGTGTGTATGGTGCAGGTCATCTAGAGCAACCGCAACTGTCCAGTACCAAACAGCTGTCAAAAACAGCCCGCCTGGAATGCGTGGTATCCGGTGTCACAATTTCTACAACGTCTGTGTATTGGTATCGAGAAAGGCCCGGTCAAGCCGTGCAGCACCTGCTGCACGTTTCAGCTGACAACACCGTCAGCGTGGAATTGGGCATTAGGCCGGGCAAGTTTGAGGCAGACAAGACGCCTGACACTTCGACGTCTACCCTCACCATTCACAGTGTAGGCGAACAAGACGCGGCCACCTACTACTGTGCCCTCTGGGACGCGCACAGTAACAGACCTTAGCGCCGTGTCGCTCAATAAATGTTCACTGGTTTTTCGTTCACTGCCGTGAATTAGGAAACCACAGTTGCCACCTGTACGCTTTCGTGCAGTTTTCTAGGTAAACTTTTATGTGGGTGACTCTATGTGAAGTTGCCACACTCTATATTTTCTTTAAGAGGAAGCTGTGCCTAAATACGTGCAAATAATCAGGCTCGATTTTCAGGGCTCTGTTCTCTGCCCAACAGGCTTTCCCGGGGCATCTATGCTTAATCCTCCAAACTGACCTCTGTTACTCCCTCTTTAATCTTCTGCCGAGATCTATACCCCACATTATCTGTACCAGCCAATTTGCATTATGTTAAGATTTTTTTCTGATCCATTCGTCTCCTTTGATTAAAATAATGGAGATTAGATTCAGTGCTATTTATTCTCTAGAGGCGAAAATGTAGCAAACACAGCATGATCTAACTGACTGCAATGATAAATATATCAAATGCATGCCCTAGAAGGGTGATACTGGATTTTGCACAAAGCTTATAAACACTGCTCCTTACTGAGTCCAAATCAAAGTCTACATTGGATGGGAGCCTGGGGAGCAGTTCATTTTCTGGCTTAAGTGTTCGATGGACACTCTGAGCCAGGCATCGTGCACAGCGGAAATCGCAAATCTCGTAGGCTCTGTCAAAGCTGGAGGTTGCTTTTGTAAAGCCCCTTTCTGTTGCTGGGCCACCAATCCCCAGTGACACGACAGTCTCCGACTAGATGTGGAGTCATTCACCCCTACTGCCCTTCTTTCTGCTGAGGTGAATTTCACCAAGGACACTTTGGCCACACACGCCAAAGGCAAACCGGCCAGAGGCAAATCAGCCCCGTCCTAAGTCAACATTGGCAGTTAAATGATTGTTTAAATTGCAGAGGCACAGAACACGGAAAGCGTTTCATTGGAATATACAGTACTGAGTACTGAATGGGGCTCCCCACACCGTCTGCTGAAGTAAGACCTATGTTTCCATGATTGTTGAGGTATTTGCATTACCGAATGGGTGGAAGGGGGATTTTTGTAGAGATGGATGCCTGAAATCTCCCGATGATTTTGACTCACCTTACTTTCCTTTGTACCTGAAGAGGGTATTCACAATGACTTTGAGTAACAGAACCAACATTATATTATCCAATTCATGCTGAATGAAGTTCAAGGAAACCTCAAAAATCACTATTTTCTATAACATATCATCCATTACCAACTCCCCACACATACTAGTGTGGCGGGAAAAGGGATGTGTGTCACCTAAGAGTCAACTTGGAAAAAAAATCACAATTCTAAAAACTGCTAGGCCCCCCAGGAAGTACACATTGACTATCTATCTTGAGTACACTCTACTTCCAGCCCTGAGAGCGGGTTTAGAGGGTCAGCCTGAGGTAGGAGAGTGGAGTGGTCACCTTTGGAGGTTTGGGGCATGGATCCTTTTTTTCCCTGTGCCACTTCCGTGATGCCTAAATTATCTAACAGGAAACTTTGATCACCTTTGAATTTTATTTCAAAATTTATTTTTTAAAAAAATTCACACGTTTCATAATATTAAAAATACCTTGGCATATTATTGAGAGCTTAGAGACAGCAAGTGAAATTTGATGATTAGAAATGCTTATAGTGAAGGAGGGTATAGCTCAGTGGTAGAACGCCTGCCTAGCATGCAGGAGGTCCCAGGTTCAATCCCCAGTACCTCCATTAAAATAAATAAATAAATAGACATAATTACCCCTCTCCCCCCAAAAAGAATGCCTGTAATGGGCTCTGTCTTGACTACTTTTTCTCCTCTCTCCTCTAACAACTTTTGCTTCTTTTACAAAACGAAATCTTGTTTTTTCTCCTGATTCCCACTGATCCTGTCTGCCAAGTGAGAGACAATGTTAATGCTCAGGGTTTCCAGGGTAGCTCATTGGGCTGGAATGACTCTTTTTTCTTAAGTGGTACAGACACCAAGTAGTACAGACAGTGCCAAAAATATGCAGTCTTCTCATTAGCGCGGTGCCATGGCGGTCTTGCTTTCTTTACTTCCGTTTCGTCCAGGTGCAGATGCAGTCAGGGGATCGTCTCAAGCAGAACTGCACACTTCATCGCACAGGAGGCTCTCCATCTGCAGGGCGGCTTGGCGCTCAGTGCCTGAGAACATGATCCACCACCATTCATGGAAAAAGCTGCTCGAGAGTCAGTTTCAGGTGGTCTTCAGTGGGAGAGCCGGCGGGGAGAGACAGACCTTCAGCTTAGACTCTGTGAGTCCCCTTCTGTGGGGGCACGGATTTCTCACATCTTATGAGTGAGTCAGACATGCACGATTAATGACCAGTGGTCTCATCTCTGGTTGCTGTCTGGGAGCAGTAAGTGGAAGCATCAGCAGGGGACTGGGAGGCGGGAGGAGACTGAGGTCAGGGCAAGTTCCCTCCCTGACAGGTGGCCTTGGATTGGCTGCATTCTCCTCCAGTGACCAGATACAGGTGACATCCAACTCACAGTTAGAAGATTTATGTCCAGGAATCAAAAGATGAAGGTGGATGTGGCCATTCCTTTTTATACAGTTGACCCAGCAGAGGAACGTGTTTCCTCTGCTAACACCCTGGGAGGCTCCTTGCTCCTCCTCCTGTTCCTCTTCCCTGTCTCCTCCTCATCCTTTTTGGACACTCAGCCTGGGCAGACAGGACGGCCAGCTTCAAATATTTATCTGCTTTTCACTCTGGGAATATAAATTTGTTACTCTATTTCTCAGATTTGGTGAGGGATTTTTTTTTTTAAAGTAACTTCCAGTGAAATAAGTCAGACAGACAAAGACAAATACTCTGCGTGATCATTTATATGTGGAATCTGAAAAATAAAACAAAAGCATGTAAATATAAAATAACAGCAGATTCACAGACACAGAGAACAAATTAGTGGTTATCAATGTGGAGAGGGAAGTGGGGAGGGCAAGATGGGGTGTGGGTTTAAGAGACACAAACTAATATGTGTAAAATACATAAGCAACGGCACAGAGAAGTAGAGCTGTTATTTTGTAATAATTTAAAATGAAGTAAAATCTATAAAAATATTGAGTCACTATGGTGTACATCTGAAGATAATATAATATTGTAAATCAACTATACGTCTATAAAAATAAAATAACTTGTGCCAGCAAAAAAGAAAGTAATGTTTTTGTCTTAATAATTTTGCTTCTTGTTGGAAATGCTATTCTTTTGTTTATGTATAAAACCGGACAGATATAATTGAAGCAAATGAAAATATTTATTTCAATAGCAGAAAAGAAACATATGTGTTCACTGTAAGGTATTGAGATGTAACTTTTCATACACGTAAAGGTGCTGACACCAAATCGGGCTTCTGAGGGTCATGTGCGACCGCGCAACCATGGAGTACATAAAATTCACAGAAGAAGAGGAAATGAAGACCTAATATAAGGGCCCCTGGGAACCTACAGTACCATTAGAGCCCTTATCTTGACCGTGACCACATCCTTCCCAACGCGGAGCAACCTTGGTCCTGAGCCCAGACCTCAGCCTCAGCCCGCAGCATTTCCTGTGCTTCTTGGGCCGATGCCTCATGTCAAATGAAAGAGGAAAGGGAGCCTGATGGCTATCGACTGTACCCCCACAGATGTTAGTAACTGTGCCCCTAAATGTCTGGCTTGACATCAGTTCCTACTGCTGTGGGTTCCTAGTTAGAGACTATGTATGTTGAAATGGGCTGATTATCTGAGAGAGAAGAGAGGGCAAGGTGCATTATTTCATCTCCCAGAGATTTTCAGTAATTGTGAGAGGCTCAGGCTAGAGGCACTAACGAGGAAATGTAACGGAATTCATATCCATGTAGCCCCCACGGGCTGCCAGATAATGTGCAGGAGGACACAAGTGTTCAGAAGCTCATGTGATAACCATTAAAACCCTGCTAATAAGTATGTTTCATGCAAGAAGGAACTGCTGCTTTGAGAGAGGCAGTAATCAGTCCAAACAAATAGTCCGTGCTGTTTCAACTGCACTGTTGAATACCCTTAGTGTCTATTAATTTTATAAGAATATACTTTGGCATTTGTGACCAAGTTCTATTGCCCAGCTGAGCAGAGCCTGGTCAAGTCAGAATGAGTAGCCACTCAAGAGGTCATGGCTAGAAGGTCAACTTGGGACACACTTGACTGGGGACAACAAACTGGATTGGGGGCCAGCCACCCTTACCAGAACCGTCAGAGTAGTCAGCCCAGCACAACTAAGGGAGTCACGCAGCTCACATACGGGGCACCCCTAGAGCATCTCATTCAGGTAACAAGAGGGGAGTGCACTGCTGGGACATATAGCGTGTCTCCTAAAAAAGGCTATGTCCCCAAGGTCAGGAAATAGAACCACACTTCCAAATACGGAGAAATAAACACAGCCAATTAAGCAAAATGAGGCAACAGAGGAATATGCTCCAAATGAATGAACAAGATAAAACCCCAGACGAAGAACTGTGTGAAGTGGAGATAAGCAATCGACTTGATAAGGAGTTCCAAGTGATGATCCTAAAGACATTCAGACAGCTCAGAAGTAGATTACACGAACAGAGTGAGGAATTAGAAGGTTGTAACAAAGAGTTAGAAAATATAAGGAAGAATCAAGTGGAAATAAGGAATACAATAAATGAAATAAAAAATACATTAGAAGAAATAAAAAATAGATTCCTTGGTATAGAGGAACAGATCAGTGAATTGGAAGACAGAGAGGCAGAAATCACAAAAGCTGAACAGAAAAAAAGTAAAAAGAATAAAAAGAAAAAAAAAGAAATGAGGATAATCTGAGAGACCTCTTGGACAGCATCAAGCATACTAACATTTTCACTGTAAGAGTCCAGAGAGAGAAGAGGGAGGAAAAGAGGAAGAGAACATTATTTGCAGACATCGTAGTTGAAAACTTCCCTACGCAGGAAAAGGAAACAGAAATCCAGGACCAGGAAGCGAAGAGAGTCCTAAAGAGGATCAGTCCAAAGAGGACCACACCAAGACACGTTGTAATTAAAACGGAAAGAATGAAAGAGAGAATATTAAAATCTGCAAGGGAAAAGCAACAAGTTACATAAAAGGGAGCTCCCATAAGGCTATCGGCTGACTTTTCTGAGAAAATTTGCAGGCAAGAAGAGAGTGGCGTGAAATTTTTTAAATGCTGAAAGGGAAAAACCCACAGCCAACAACACTCTACCCAGGAAGGCATTCCTGCAGATTTGATGGAGATATCAAAAGTTTTACAGATAAGAAAAAGATAAGAATGTTCAGCCCCACCTAACCAGCTTTATACGAAATGACACAGGGGCTCCTTTAAGTAGAAAAGAAAAGGCCACAATAGAAATATGAAAATTAGGAAAGGAAAAATCTCATTGATAAAGGCAAATATATAGGAAAAGCAGTAATTCAACCACATAGAAAGCTAGCGGGAAGGTTAAAAGACATGTAGTAAAACCATCTGCATCGGTAGGAAGCAGTTAAAGCCACGCAAAACAAAAAGAAGTAAAACATGGTATCAAAGACAGTAAACGTGGGGGGTGTGGAGTAAAAGTGCGTCGTTAACATGCATTCGAACTTAACAGGTAAGAAACTTATAATATTCTATACAGATTGCTACCTATAAACCTCATGGTAACCACAAGCCAAAAAATCTATAATAAATACACACACAAAAGAGAAAGGAACGCAAACATAACACGGAAGACAATAATTAAATCAAAGGAAAGAGAACAAAAGAAGAAGAAAAGAACAAAACGAACCACAAAAAAGCCCACAAACAATTAATGAAATGGCAAAAAGTGACTGTGTGTCAATAATTACTTTAAATGTAAGTAGAATAAACGCTCCAATCAAAAGACAGAGTGGCTAATGAATACATTTATAATCCACAATATCATGTTCATATCCGTATATCGCAGAGAAGAAGTCCAGCAGTTAAGACATCATAATAATAAGAGTTGTTGTCGTGACTATGTGATAACAAACATTTTTATTTTCATCTTTGCCCTGTTTCTCTGAAATTCTTCAATGAGCTTGTTCCGCGTCTGAGCTGGGTGCTTCTGTTGAGTCATGGCACTCCCCTGAAACTCGTTTTCCTGGTCTATAAAATGAGAACTGCCAGCATCAGTACCATGTGATGTGCTGTGAGATGAGAAACATTTAGAAAAAAGAAGCCTAACCAATGAAAATGCTCATTAAATATTTCCTACCATAGAAGTCAATGTTTATTAAACATGCAATATTTTAAAATACTATGCTGAGAAAAAAGTGTCCATAAAATAGCTCCTAGGCAAGTAGACACCATTCGCATTCCCACAGAACTCAAGATGCTCCTGCAGCTCCCACACATTCATGCCAAATAGCCCTCCAGAGACCACTAGCCTTATCTTCAGATCGGCAGGGAAAGTCTGAGGATCAGAGGAAACAGGAAACTCAGGCCTGAAGAACCTGCAGCCCAGGGACCCGCTAGACTCACCAGTTTCTTTCCCTCCCTGATTCATGCCACGCCCTCCTAGCCCTGACTCGGGGCACCCAGCCACCAGGTCCTCATCTTCCTACCTTTTCCTCGAGCACACAGCCTGGCAGCCAAGATGTCACTGCTGGAAGCATTCACCTTCTTCTCCTTCTGGGCTCGTGAGTCACTCCCTGACCATTTCTTTTACACGAGTGAGCAGAGAAATTCTTTGATGTTTCTTATATTATCCAAAGCTCACTGGAAATTCTCTCCTTTTATTCACAGTTGGACTTGGGTTATCTAAAGTGGAGCAGTCCCAGGTATCCGTTTCCACTGAAGTAAGGAAAAGTATTGAGATCAACTGCAAGATAGAGAGCAGAGATTTTGAATCAGAAACCGTTTACTGGTACCGGCAGAGACGGAATCAGGCTTTGGAGCATCTGATTTTTGTGATCTCAACAACAACCACAGCTCGAAATCTGATTGATGGGAAAAACAACAAAGTTGAGGCAAGAAAGAATTCTCAAAAGCTTACTTCAACCCTTACTGTAAATTTCATAGAAAAAGAAGATGCGGGCATTTACTACTGTGCTGGCTGGTACTCACAGTACTAGAACTGTCAAGACACCCCACACAAGATCCCCTCCCTGGGTCTGCACCCACCCACATCCTTCCCAGCCCCCAACCTGGGCTCCCAGCCGCAGCCTCACCTCCTCTGCAATGTTTCCTGAGCTTTCCAGGAGCTCATCCTGCATCATGCTTGTACATGACTTTCCAGCTGACCCCAGGAGGTGTGCTTTATTATCCCCATGAATTAAAATCTTGTCTGGGGACTGAGGGCACTACGGCTGTGCCACAGAGAGTTCTCTAAGTGGGCATGCTTCAGGTTGAGAGAGCGCATCACCATGTTCCATTATGATCCCATTTACTCAAGACAACAGCTCTGTGGTATAACTATGATTGGTCCATTGTACAGCCACAGAAATGCAATCTTAGAGGACTTAAAGTGAATGACAAGCCAAAGACAAGAAGTCCATAGTTTTTGAACTGAACTGTGAGACCCCACCGAAAAGTTTAAGAACTGCAACTCTCTAAGTGAACAGTAGGATATCTGGGGTAAATTGCCCCTTTTGTTGGGAGGTGTGGGAAAAATGATTGTACCAGCGCGATGTCATCAGGATAAAACTCTGGGTTAGATGAGCCCGCCATATTGGGCAACTCTGATTCTGCCTGTAAAAGAAGAGAGAGGACCAGCCAAGACCAGAAGAGCGAATGTCATGTGTGTGTGTTTGTACGCGCACACGCATGTGTGAGTTCTCTATCAGTGTTCTCAGTGCTTTGCATATATTAGCCCCTCTAAACCATACTACCTATAAGGTCTTTCTGTTATCTTGAAACATATTTGACTCATGGGGCAAATAAAGCACAGGGCGGTACAGTCACTTGCTCAAATCACACATCTGGTACACGGCCAGTCGGCAGAGTGATGTTGAGACCCAGAAGATCTGGCTCCCCTTGTCTGTTACACAAAACTGCTTCTTACTTGCAGGGATCAACACATTGTTCCCATCCCCACAGAGACAGAATGAACCACCACAGAAAACTGACGCAAATTATTAACCCACAATTTGCGTGAGGAGGTGTCTCCACAGAATAAGTAAAATGCCAATAAATTATCAGTTGGCTTTTCAATATCAAACAATAAAAGAGCCTTATTTTCTATTTCTGATAGTATCTGCAGTGGGCTTCTGGTAGGAATACTGGTAGGAATGCATACTGTTCACCTTATTTAAAAATTCCCCATAAAATATTAACATATTCACTCTTTCTAGCCGCTAGTTCAAGCATCCATAGTCTGATTTTCAATTTTGAGATGTACTGGAAGGGAAAAAGGAGGATTTGCAGAGCAGGCAGACACAGGAGACGGAATTAGACATACAGTCCTCCAGACCTTCTTCTCCCACATCTGGTGGGCTCATATTTTTTTTTAAATTTATATCCTGACCTACACTGTTTATGACCATTGCAGTTTCTTAGTTTGGGGGTGGGGGGGGCAACTCAGGAGAACAGTCCTGGTCCCCTATATTTTTAATGCGAGCAAAGAGACCAGAAACTGAATGGAAAACACCAAACGTGAGGAGATGAGCCCTTTTCAGAAGAAAAGCCTGAAAAGTGTAGGTTAAGCTTCTCAAAATATCTTTGCTATGTTCTTTGTACATATTTTCTCACATAATGTACATAAGAGCAGTCAGTGTAGCTTAGCGAGATAGTATCTTTAGAGAAACAGATCTCACAGGATAAAAGTTGTATCCGCTTTTCAAAGTCAGCCCTAGAAAAAACAGTAATCAATTCAACGATGAACCAAGGGAAAGAGGCAGATAATTTATGTTGCTTTCAAATGACAGAATATTACAAAGCCATTTAAAACGGCATTTTGAAGATTTATTAATACAAATGAAAATGTTTACATTCACATGCCCCCCAAAATCACATAAAGGACAAATGAATATACATTAAATCTCAAATTCATAAATATCTACATCAGTGGAAGAAACAAAATGCAGGTAATATTGGAGTTTTACGGTAGTTTTTTTTTTCCTGATGGAGTAGATTTTTTTTTATATTATTAATGAATTTGTACATTTTCAGAAAAGGGACTAAAGAATTTTTACAATTAAAGTCCTATTTAACAAGGCAGTTTTCTTTTGTCTTTCAATAATGTTAAAAATACAACTAGAAAACACCATAAGTGACTTATTATGTCTTAGGCACCATTATTTACTTTATAGACATGATCACTTTTAGTGTGATAATGTAACTTTCTTAAGTCTCTGAAAGATATTTATTGAGGCAATTATAGATGTAGAAACTGAGACGCCAAGAGATTAAACAACTTAACTGACATCAGAAGAGATAACTAAGTAGAACAGAAGGGTAATTATTTTCATAGGTCATTAATAATGACATTCACGTAAAATTTTTAAGGACCTAAAATTTCAAAATATAAAGGTAACTAAAAGAACAGAATATGAAACTGTATGTGCAAAGCCCATTTAAATTTAAAACATATGGGTAATGATCCAAGCAAACGTATTACTATGTATAAATGTGTGGAGAAGACGCTTAAAGGTAAATGACAATGGCTATTATTTTCATCATTTTACAACCTATTTACTGTGATTTTCTTCCAGGAGCATCTGTGAGTTATCCAGGCTCCCACAGTTACCAGTTTTGTGACTTATCCGCACTGTTCTCATCTGTTAAAGAAAAATAATAATAATATTAACTCTCAAGATTGAGTATAAATGAAATAATTAAAAAAATATATTTAGAATAGGGCTAGCGAGTCCTCCATTGATTTGCAGTAGAAGCACCTGACCCACTGCTTCCTCCTCTCCCACCAAGTCACACTACACTTGGGTCCCCCAAGGACCAGGGGGTCCTCATTTTCCTGCCTTCTTCTTGGCGACATGGTCTGGCAGACAGGAGAATGTCACTGATGGGAATATTCATATATTTCTGCCTCTGGGTTTGTGAGTGTCTCCTCTATTATTCAACACAGATAGGAGATGAAAGACATTCTTTATTGTTCCCTCTTTCTATGTCAGATGTTCAAGAGAATATCCCCTTTTTTTTCTTTTGCAGTTGGACGTGGGCAGTTAAAACTGGAGCAGCCTAAAATGTCTTTTCCAGAGCAACAGGAAAAGTGCTCACATATCTTGTAGGAAGAAGACTATGAAAATACCGTCATACACTGGTACCTGCAGAAACCAAATGAAATTGTGGCAACTCCGATGTTTGTCATCTCCATAAAACCCCCAGTTCTGGTTCAGTCAGGAGAGAAAAACAACAAATTTGAGGCATGGAAAGTTTTCAAACACCTCATTCAATCCTTACCATAAACTTCACAGAAAAAGTTGTGACCATTGACTGCTGTGCTGGTGGGTCCCAGCTGGTGGTTTTATTTCTACTGTGTAATTTAATACTTTCAGTTTACATATTTCCCTAAGTGAGCTATTCTGGTTTTATTGTTAAAAAAAAATCTAACAAAGTAATTTTCTCTTATTTGATAATAACAGTAATACTGAGTTCTAATAATAAGAGTAATAATAAAATATAATAGTAAGAGTAATAATAA